CAGTAAGTTCTACTTGAACAATTCGTTAAAAATTAGAACATATAAGCTCAGAAGCTCCTAACCATACACTACAGACTTAAGTCTCTGTTGGTTATCTATCATCCTTGATATTAGTGTCCGATTTCACGAGTTTGGATACATATGTTAGTTATACCACGTTCCACCCAATGCCTGAGTCATATGAACCAGGAGGACAACTTCCGATATTGTAGCTGAGATTTGTCCTGTCAAAAGTTATGACTGGTGCAAGAACAGTAAGAAGAATCGACTCCCCAGTATTTTCAACATTCCATTTAGGTGAATTTATGTTCTCGAAGTTTTGATGCCCAAAGATCTTGCCCACAGATTTAGTCATTGTCATTATTGTTTTGGTTGTAAGCGAGATCATGTCATCTGTATGACGAAGATGTAAGTCTGGATGTTTTGCCATGATATTGGCGCACTGTGTTTCGGTGTATTGGCCTAAGTCAAGATACCAAATATTGAACTGACTGAGTGAAACGTCAACGTTGTACGAGCCTCCTTGATGAGCACGCTTGTATAGAGCTTGTAAAATAGCAATCGCACCGATTACTCCAGTTTGATAATCAGAGTTTGGAAGTAGTGGCACAACTGGCTCATTGAGACCTAAAAACTTTCCTTGTAACCATGAAACACCAGTGACGCAATCACTGATCTGTTGCCAGCCGGATCGAGAAGACCATGGGCCAACCCAACCGTAACAATTCTCACGAGCATAAATGATGCCTTTCCCTAAAGTATTCCAGAAGATTTCTACATCCATCCGAAGAAAAACTGTCTTAGTTCACACCCAAGCGTTCAAAAACTGCAAAACTTTAAAAACTGGTAATCAAAATCGAAGTCTGCATGTGAACTATTCAATTGAAACTTTGATCGGTTGTAAAAAATTCATACACATGACCTCTTTGACTTTAATTTCTGGATCTTTACCAAGGAATACGAGAAGGGTTGCAGAAAGATTTGTCAAAATAAAAGTTTTCTAACTCGCTGCAAACCTTTGCGAAAGCTCACATCATAGCTATTCAATAGGATTTTTTGATAACCCAAACTCTCTTCTGGCCTATTTGTACAAATTCAATTTAATTATTTACGTTACGATGTAAAAAAGGGTTTTTTAGCAAAATTAGCTTTATCATCTTAAGTAAAATACTAAGAGGAAGATAACAGCATGGCATAATTTCACAGAAAGCTTTTCAGCTTGTCGGAATTGGTTTTTATGTTACTTATGGGAAATATCTGTAAACATTAGTAGTGAGTGTTTATTGATGCTACTTTTTAGGTATTATTTTTCATGTTTACAAACAGAAATTAAAAAAGTGATGTGTCGGAAGTTTGCTCATTATATAATGAGGTTCTATGTAATATAGTTCTTGAACTTCAGAACACAACTTGATAAAAGACTGAAGAGCGTGCAATTTCATTTTTGATAGGTTTCAAGATAATTTTCTGCTTGGATTCTTTACATTCAACTATTCATCGAAAATAACCTACTATTATCTTACGGAGATCAAGATATAAGAACAGTTGGCGTTTTTTATTCAACTGTATTAAAACTATAGAGAATGCGTAGTTTTCAGTGACGTTTATGAACAACCGCTTGCAATGAAAAATAAACGCTTAGACACAGAAAATATTGTACAAGTTTTATGGAGTATCCAAGTAGGTCAGACTTACATTGTGTAGAAATTAAATCTTATTGTTTTATCAAAATAATCAGTGTTCAAAGTTTCAAAACTCTTTACATTTTTTTCCGTTTCAATGTGACATAGTTCTTCTATGAAAACTATAGGTAACTTAATATGACATATATTTTACCTCTTTTTAAAGCCATTTCGTGAACTGCTTGTCGGCCAAATCCAAGTCTTTTCATGCAGCCAGGTCGATAACCGTCCAAGATGACATCTGCTTCAGACAATATGTGTTTCATCTCTGCTTTTCCTTCTGGTGTTTTCAAGTTGATCTGCATATCGTATTTTCCCATGTTTGTCTCAAGTAGAAGCATACCAAACTCTGGTTCAATATTGTTTGAAACACGAATGACAATAGCACCTAGCAAAGCCAGTATTCTGGTTATTGTAGGTGCTGCGATCACCCGAGAAATATCTATAACTTTGATGCCTGCAAGTGGTCGTAAACTCTGATCTTTCAACCTTGGCCAAGGAACGACTGGAAGCTTGTCATCATTCACAACATCTGTTGTCCAGAGGCCTTGAGACTTGATTGCTTTGCCTTGTTCTGTCTGAGCAAATTCCTCCGGTGTATAGCAAATCGTGCCTGCTTGTCGATATACTTCATTTGCTACAGTGTCAAGCCAACTTGCATCGTATTTCACGACTTCGTTGGCGAAGAATTCTACGATCTCTTCACGATCAGCTGTATTAAGTCGAAGATGATCCGGAGGCAATCCTACAAAGTTGATCAATGCGACTAAAAATCAGGGTCTATTTTATTTCATAGTACCTAACATGGCCAATGTTTTATCGGCATTCATGGATCCATGAAGATGAAAGTACCGGTTGTCTTTTGTTCTGTAGACATTTGTAGCAAGATGTCTGTAAGGAATGTATGTTCTTCCCAAATCAAGTTCTTTAATTTTTTTACGAATACCATCTGGAGCTTCGGCGAAAGTCTTTCCTGAGACTTTAAGAAGCAATACGCTTAGTGAAGCAAGCGTAGCTCGATCGGTATCAATAATGCACTTTTGAAGCGGCAAATCATATCGTTCGGAGCACACCAACGAAGTGTAGCATGCTAAAAGACCGTACAAAGCAGCTGAAGACTCAGTCAATTTACAAGGTGTAGGCATGAATGGCTCGAATAAACCAGTTGGACTGTTGAAAGTCACATTCTTAGCTGCTTCAGTGATGCTGTCGGGATGTCGTAACTTCTTATCCGGAAGTAGAACGTTTAGAAGAATTCTTTCTGATTCACTCTGAATTGTATATGACATTGTCAAACTCGAGTCTGGTCGCCAATAAACAGTTGCTTGCTCGTCAAAATGTTTCTGAAGTCATAAGAAATAAAAAACTACCCTTGGCGGAAGCTCAAGAATATCAGCGCACTTCTGTCGAAGCCACGTTTCAAAAGAATTTCATACATTTGCATCTATTCATCACTGACTCTAGTCGATTTGCGCATTTGTGTGCCTATACTAGATACTACCCATGTGATACATTTACTTGAGCTACCGCCGGTCAAAAAAATGCCGAAGCATATCGACGGTTATTTTTTCATTGTTCAGTTTAAATAATGAGAGCAGATGGAACACAAGTTTTTTTTGAATATCATTTCACATGTTTACGTGCCGATATAGCAACATGTTTTTTCTGTTGCATACCAATATTGAATTACTTCTCTAACTATTTTTCCTCAGAAAACTTTATCTACAATTTTGTTTGATTGGTGCATAAGTTTTTTTCCTATATACGCGACGGCTACAAACCTTTTTGAGTACTACGTAACGAATACGCAGCTTAATTATTCTTTTGCATGTATTCATATTTTTATTTTTCGTCAAATTTTGAACTCTCTATTAATAATGAGTATACTGGTTATTTTTTAGATGAAATTTTATCATCAGATGTTTGGATTTTTGCTCACAAAATGATGGAACAAAAAGAATTACTGGCAGCATTTATATCGACTATTTGAGGCTTTATGATTTTAAGAAATAAATCTAGTGTAACCTTCGCAATAAATTGATTAAGTAATTTATCTTTAGAAAAAAAAACCTTTTATTTTGTATATTTATGTATCTAGAGTTGTTTCTGAATGAGATCTAGTCGTTTCTGAGAAAAGTATGAATATTTTCTATCACATTATTCTCACCAACAGTTAGATAGCACTGAAAAACAACTTACGATTGATAAATATACAAAATATAGCATTTCTTTTATTAAAAAACTTATCTAATCAATTTCTTGCCTATGTCATATTATATTAATTCCTATAGAATCATCGGACTGCGAATAAGTAGACTCGAACACTAATCATACCGTTAGAACATGAGACTACCGTCAATATATTACCGGTATACCGCCGTTTTTTTCCGGTTTGAATCATATGGGCTGTTTACGTCTACTTAACAGTCATTTCAATCCGATGCAAACTTTTATTGTTGTCATCATTCCTATTGAAACAATAATGTTCGTATTGTAACTTTACTAAAAAGACATGTTTCGATCACTTTGGAAGATCTGTCAATCCGAACTGTGATAAATCCATGCGAAGAGAACACGTTTTTTCTCTCGATTTTTTTTAATCACCAGTAGAGCTTGCTGATCGTGAATGAGAAGGGAAAGTTTTTCACAATATAGACAGAAAGGTAGAAAAAATGAATTTATGAAATAAACTGCTTTTTTGTAGTTTTCGTCTCTTTCGACTTCACCGCATGATAGAGCCCAGCAAGGCCAACTGGTTTGAGGTCCTAAAACTCCGATCATTCGTTCCCAAATATATTGTTCAATGATGGTGAAAACTATCTCTTTTGATGTAGAAAATTTTACTAAAAAATAGAGTAGTGATATTACGAGAAAACTTTTAGATCAAGAGCAAAAATATGTGCGCATGCCCTACCTTACAATGAATGCACACATATATAAGCATATGAAAAAAGGTAAGTGAGTGTTACAAAAAGAAAGAGAACGGCCGAATGGAAAGAAAACCTGTAAATGATAGTTTGTTCTGTCGATAAAAAAAAGTACAAAAATAAGTTTTTTTTTCTCATTTTACTCTTCGTAACGTATCTTTGATAACGACAATCAGCTTTTTGCTTTACACATATCGTTTACAGGAGCACTTTATTTTATTGATGCATATAACTTTGTATACGCCTAGTACTTTTTTTTTATATACACTTTGTACGCCATAAAAAATAGTATTATAAATAGTGTTTTAGAAACGTGGGATTCAGCATATAAGTGATAATCAAATAAACCATTAGAAATCATCTGGAATCGCATATTGAACCGTCATACGATATGGACCAGAAAACATCAACGACTCAAACAAAAAGTCAACAACAACGTGCTATTCGGATAGCCAATGTCAGTGATGTCATGTGTGATCCTGGATTTCATATTTATTATCAAGCGACAAAAGGGCCTATCGATGCAATCACCGGAGACTATCTTTCTGAGATTAATATTGCGACAAATGCACAAACTTATCAGGCTGGTCAACATCTGGATTGGGGAAAAACTGCCGAAGACGGACTTATCCAAGCTTTGGAAGTCATCGCAACAAAGAAAATCAAAGTAAGGATGGAATCTCATGATGTCTGGTTGAGCGAACTTTCATTTTTCTAAATTCTTAAATAACGTTCATTTCAACAACTAGTTAAAATGTTCCCTTATCTCTGTTTTTTTTAATGAACCAACACTATTCATTTTTATCCTATCATGCCAAATTGATTTCCGGCCTTTTTTTCTGTCAATATTTTGATAAGATCATGTACAACATATAGGATACGATGCGATCATTTGGCTTAGTTTTACGATATCAACAACATTTTCAGATAATCTTCAAGTTTTAAACAAGGAAATTTCGTTATCTGCTCTATTGTTCTTGTCACTAACGTCAAAAACCAATTTACCCAAGTTCGAAGCAAATAGTGAAATAAAAGTGCCAATAAGAGGAATGTCTTATTCCCTCGAAAACTAAAATACTTTTTCCACATAAAATTCTTACTTGAGCCCAATAAATACCGAAAAAAAGGCATCAGAATTACAATGCAGAACTGCCCGTAGGAATAAGATAAATTCTTGTATTCGTGGAGGTAGAAATGTGCTGAGTTGATTACCACCCAAATGCTATACATATACCAGTGAGGGTGTGGGTGTGGGTCACCCACACCACACCCACACCTTAGTAAGAATAAATTCTTTTTCATTGATTACCATATTATGAGATACTTTATGCCGATAATTATTATTAAATATGATCATTCACCTTGTTTTATCTATTTGAACTAGCAGATTATTCGACTTCCGTATGATTTGTCCTCATTTAATTATCTCTAAACTTGTTTTGAAAAACAAAAAATAGTAAAATATTAGACTGAACTGATCTAAAACCCATTGGAAATAACATATAGAAAGAACCTCGTCATATTGACACGATAATAATAGTTCATTTAACATTATATTATTCTAAAAGTTTATTCAAATCTTTTTGTTGAAGATTGAATAGATTTCTTCTCTTATTTTTTTTTTACCTTTTCATACCAGTTGACAGTATTGATGTAAATTGTTTCATTCCGGTTCATCTTCCCATTTTTGCATTTAGAAATCTTTGAATATAACCGAAAGAGGGTGTGGGTGTGGGGTGTGGGTGACGAGGTTTGGCTATTGTGGGTGCGAAGGTGTGGGTGTAGGTGTCGCTGTTTTTTCTCTGAATCCACACCCTCACCCATCCACACCAACACCCACACCCACACTCACACCCCAACAATTATTGGTGATAGGCCTCCTTAAGTATAGTACTGTAAAACTTGATATTTGAATTCAACTTAAAATCGATTTTGAAATAAAATTCTTGCGAGAGCTCGTTCAAAAGATAGGGACAAAAAGTCCTTTAGATATTATGTCATCGCCAAGGGAGTGGAAGAAGGTCACGAGTTGTTTACTTTTGATGACGGTACTAAGGGGATAGGGGGTCGGTTCGACGATGACGTAATCATTGAAAGCTTTTTCTCGCCTCATATATACTTGTTGGTGGGCGCCAAGTCTTCCTTTTCTCGACAGAACAGTAGTGATAACCAAGGATTAATTAGTAATCCATCTGGAAAAAGCAATAATCTTTTTGTTATCTGCATTTAGTTTTCTTCCTCAATAAGATCGTTCAGTGATCGAAGAAGACGTACTTCGCAAACAACAGCACCCAGAACTATGGGTGTGAGTATGGATGTTGGTGTGGGCATGTATCTAGACCCACACCCCATTCAGGTTTTCGGTACTGAAAAATGTAAAAACGAGTTGAGATTCTCTCGAGAACAAATTATCTTTTCGAATTCCCAAAGTTCTAATGGTGTTACAAAATAATTCCACATAAATTGAATAAGGTTTAAATCATGCATGTTGTACAATTCCTAGACTTCTAAAATAACGTTCGTAACATGAGAGTTGAAAAGAAGATATCCGAATGCTATTTTGGTGTTTGAGAATATTGGAGTGGTTTCCAGAACTTTTCTTCGGAAGCGCAAGGCTTTTCTGGAGATTCGAAAACCTTATACGGTTTCCGATAGATAGTCGGAAGCCATCCTCGTTTTCTCGAAAACGCTCCCACCGTTTACGATGCTCGAAAACCTAGAAAGGTTTCCGATAAAAAATTATCGGAAATGCTAAGGTTTTCGCGAAGGTTTTTATATCAAAAGAGGTTTCTAGGGAAACCTTTCGAGTTTTGAAAACAGCACGAGAGTTTCTGAGAATACGGTTGAGGGTTTCCGGACCTATCTTTCGAAAACCCATAGGTATCCGATAGAATTTTAGAAGGTGTTTCGATTCCTGGGAAAACGTTTTTTTTAGAGTGCACACCCACACCCACACCCACGCCTCACTCATTGATAGTATTGGTATGAAGTAGTGTGGAATAGGATAAAGATGAGGGTAATCGGAATATGTGGTCGGGCAGGAAAAATGCGAGAAGAGGCACGGTTTCTGTCAGATATCGCTCAGTGATCTCCTGAAATATTTTAGCGGATTTTGAGCCATTAGTTGCAGAAAATTGTCGGGGTGAAGCAGCAGCGATAGATGCGAGAAATTGCACAATATCCTCATTCTAAGGTTATTGTTAAGCCACCCTTTATTATCATTCCTCCAACTATATCATTATATTAAGCCTTGTATGTAGAAAAAAAAAGACGCATGTAGCAAATATCACATCAGTGCGAAGCCACTCTAGCTAAACAGTAGCACGAGATTGAGATTAAGAGAACCACGACATCAGATGAGGGAGAGAATCTCCTAGAGAGTAGCTGAGCAAATAGAGGATGCAGTAAATAGAAAGAATAAAAAGAAATGTACATCTTTTCATAGACACATCACTAGCACAACATAAACAAATACGAACAGAACGAGTATTGTACAACATCGTCTCTTCCACGTATTATCTCTTTTTATTGCCATCACAAGCTCTAGTCTTGTCGTACCTCCACCTCCACCTCCACTTGACACCTTTCATGCCATCACTAATAACCAACAACAACCTTGCCCTACGCTGGAAACACTAAATTATGAAGTTGCTAGTGGTATTAACTACGAATACGTTCATGTCAAAGCAAACAACAGTAGCAATAATTCAAAAGCAACTTTCTTGTTTCTTCATGGTTTTCCCTCGTCGATCCATTGCTGGCGTCACCAAATCGAGCATTTCTCACGACGAGGGTATGGATGTCTAGCACCAAATTTGATGGGCTACGGTAAGACTTATTCACCATTGAACAAAGACGAATACAAGATCAAATCAATGGTTGAACATCTCATTGTGCTTCCCGATCACTTGCACTTGGACAAAGTCATTGTCGTCGGACACGATTGGGGTACTCGACCGGCGAATCGATTTGTTTTGTATCATTCTGAACGTGCATTGGGTCTTGCTTTGATCAGTGTTAGCTATCAAGCACCGGCAATGTTTGATCTTGATCGATCACTAGAGAATTTGAAGAAAGCCTTTGGATACGAGACGCTTGGCTATTGGAAATTCTTTGACTCTGATGATGCTGCAATGATAATCGAGGCTAGCGTGGAAAGTTTCATGGATCTTACCTTTACAAGTAATCCGCTACAATGAATGACGGATTTCGCCCAGTTGGAAAGATGCGAGACTGGGTGGCGAGTGGAAGAAGAACTGATCGGACTCAATATATGACAGAAGACGACTACAAGATTTTTCATCAATCTGTAGTCGAGGGAATGCGACCAAAATTAAATTGGTACAAAGCGGCAATTGCAAACATCGATTGGAATGATGTGAAGAATATCGGTCCAAGAACAAACCGACCAGTTCTCTTTAAAGATTATGTATGTGTTATCGCTTCGTTTGCAGGACAAAAACAATTCATAGCCGACCTGGAAGTGATCGAGTTAGAAACAAGTCATTGGGTGATGGAAGAAAATCTAGACGAAGTCAATCGAGCGATTGACGAATGGGTCAAGAGGATCGTATGATCCCGACGAACAGTGACTCAATTCGATTATTTTTAATCAGTCTCCCATCAGTGTATTCTTCTTGTAATTCAAAAACTTTAACATGGTTCGATGCTATGCGAGTAATGTAGTCCAGGTCACTCTGTCGACATTAAAATTTATTTCCTGGTATTATAGTCAGTTTCACTCATAATGTGGAAAATCGCTTCATACTACAAATCTCAGAGATGAGGGTAGGCGTGAACTGTTTCTCACCGCGTCGTGGAGAGCTTTCATATAAGCAAGCGAACATATGACTTTCTTGCTCGGAAGCAGCTTTCATTTGCTCAAAAATGACAGTATATCACCCAAAACATAATCTTTCTCGAAAAAAATTATGTTTATACGAGAAATAGCGGCGGAACACCTTTGGACATTGGGCAGCTTTCGCCAAAACAGCTTGAAATGTGACTTTCTTGATAGGAAATGATTTTGTTTTTCTCAGAAATAATTTCTATGTCACTGAGGAAATCATTTTTCAGAAGTAAAAGCTTTATACAAAAACAATTGTTTTTGACGAAATATGCGTAAAGAACCCCTGTCCATATTTTTCAAGAATTTCTTTTCGAAAAATAAGTTAAGCTTTATATTATTCAACGCAATGGAATGCGCTAATTTCAAACATCACCTGAGCTTTTCTTCAAAGAGTGATATGGATGCTTCAAAGCGAATTTTCAACCAAAGACTGTGATACTTGGAAAAAGCTGCAGAATAGGCTAGAAAAAAATTTAACAAGTTGGCGCCACTATCATCATTAGGTTGTATATGTAGGAGTATCTGGTAAAAATTTCAGCTTGATTGGACGCTATCCTTTCGTAGGGTCTACAAAGTTTAGAGCGGCAGGTTTTCAGATCGAAATCAGCGTTAAAAATGAACCAAAAATTTCCCTAGAATATTATCTATATATGGTTTGATGCAGCTCGATGAGCTGATTACGGATATCAACTTAATTTTACTTCAAAGTACAACACAGATGCAGAAAATCGGATTTTAGGACAGAGTCCTCGGGTTTTTGGGTAGCCTCTCAAACCGCCTAGGAAAGGTTTCATGAGTTGGCGCTACTACCATGATGAAGACACATATGTAGAAATATTCGGTAAATACTTGAGCTCAACCAGATGTTATTGGCTAAGAGACTCTTTGTTTTCTACTGTGTGTTAAATTGAATTAGGATTATTCCTCTTAACATAAAGCCCACAGATGAGAAAGGTTTTTGTGGTATTGCTTGCTTGTGGAATATTGTGTTATATCGCCGAGTGGCTTGACTTTCTTTCTTTATGCCGATTTTAGAGTCAAGGCCTCGGTATGCTCTTTTCTAGGGCTCTATACAACTTTGACAACCGCTACTTTTGAAAATGATAGATCACATATGCATGTATCTAAGCAAACAGTTAGATTCTGGAAAATAATATTTTCGCATATATGCACCTGGCACTTCAGTGTGCACTGCGGGATCACTTTACCCTCACCCTCATTTTTTGCTTTTTATCGTCGCTTTGGACTATTGAGTATATGAGAATCTTTGAAATTTCACTTCGACAAGAAAAACATTTGAAAATCAAAGTCGACATCTTGGAAGAACAACAAACTCTCTATCAGATGAACTAAAACCCGAATTTTTTAAAGTATTTCTAAAGTGCCTCAAAGACAGAAAAACAAAAGTCGGCTATTCATTACGACGCATCCGTAATTGAATCAATAATTGTTTGCAACACCTTTTCAACCAAACCAAGTATTCATAACTTCTCGAATCTGAACGTAGCACAACTATTCAACAACCACCGAATTCTTCAGATCTGGCACCATTGGATTTTTAGCAAAATTTCAACGAATCTACTTGCAAATTTCAGAGAAAAATATTTTGTTAATGAGAAATTGCATATTGAGAAACGCAACGTTAAGACCAAGTGTTTAAAGTCACCTTCCCCTTTCCCGACCCTAAACAAATTAAGTTTTTTTATTTCAATTTTTTCATTGCTAGTGAAACTCTCAACTGTCCTTTATCGAATACCATAAAGGAGAACGTTTCATTGTTATTTGAATGCTTATAAAAATTGCGATTAGAAATCTTCTATGTCAAAAATTGCTTTACTGCATGTTGACTATAGCAAATCCTCTTCATTATAACTGTTATTTCGTGTCTAAACGTGTTGTGTCAGTAAACGGTGCTGTTCAAACAGCGCTGTAGAAGCACAATATTTGTTTAGGCTTGTTGAAAAAATAAAAATCCTTATATAACGCT